AAAGACAAGTATTGTAATTTTGAATTCCATAAAGTGAGTGTGGAAGAAGTGAAACAATTATTGTTGTCGATCAACAATGACAAGCCACCGGGGTCTGACAACTTGGATGGAAAATTACTGAGGATAATAGATGACGATATTGCCACTCCTATTTGCCAATCTTCAATTTAAGCATGCTAGAAAGGGTGTGCCCTCAGGCATGGAGGGAAGCAAAAGTCATTCCGCTACCTAAGAATAGTAAAGCCCCCTTTACTGGCTCAAACAGCTGACCAATCAGCCTGTTACCAACCCTTAGTAAAGCTTTGGAAAAAATTGTGTTTGACCAGATAAAATGCTATTTTACAGTAAACAAATTGACAACAGACTTTCAGCATGCTTATAGGGAAGGACATTCAACAAGCACAGCACTTACACAAATGACTGATGATTGGCTGAGAGAAATTGATGATAAAAATATTGTGGGGGCTGTTTTGTTAGACTTCAAGTGCGGCTTTTGACATTATCGATCATAGTCTGCTGCTGGAAAAACATATGTGTTATTACTTTACACCCCCTGCTATATTGTGGATAAAGAGTTACCTGTCTAACAGAACACAGAGAGTGTTCTTTAATAGAAGCCTCTCCAACAAAATCCAGGTAGAATCAGGAATTCCCCAGGGCAGCTGTCTAGGCCCCTTACCTTTTTAAATCTTTACTAACGACATGCCACTGGCTTTGCATAAATCGGATGACTCAACACTATACACGTCAGCTACTACAGCGACTGAAATGAATGCAACACTTAACAAAGAGCTGCAGTTTGTTTTAGAATGGGTGGCAAGGAATAAGTTAGTCCTAAATATTTCTAAAACTAAAAGCATTGTATTTGGGATTCACTAAACCCTAAACCTCAACTAAATCTTGTAATAAATAATGTGGAAATTGAGCAAGTTCAGGTGACTAAACTGCTTGGAGTAATCCTGGATTGTAAACTGTCATGGTCAAAACACATTGATGCAACATTAGCTAAAATTGGGAGAAGTCTGTCCATAATAAAGTCTGGCAAGTCTGGCAACCAGACAAGTCAGTTAAGAACAAATTCTTATTTACAATGACTACCCCGGCCAAACCCTCCCCTATCCCGGTCCAATTGTGCTCCGCCCTATGGGACTCCCGATCACGGCCGGTTGTGACACAGCCAGGGATCGAACCAGGGTCTGTAGATAAAGTGCCCAAGGCACTGAGATGCAGTGCCTTAGACTGCTGCACCACTTAACAGCACTGTCAACAAGGCAGGTCCTATAGACTCTAGTTTTGTCGCACCTGGACTACTGTTCAGTTGTGTGGTCAGGTGCCACAAAGAGGGACTTAGAAAAATTGCAATTTGCTCAGTACAGGGCAGCATGGCTGGCCCTTGGATGTACACAGAGAGCAAACATTAATACTATGCATGTCAATCTCTCCTGGCTCAAAGTGGAGGAGAGATTGACTTAATCAATCCTTGTATTTGTGAGAGGTATTGACATTTTGAAAGCACAGAGCTGTCTGTTTAAATGACTAGCACACAGCTCAGACACCCATGCATACCCCACATGACATGCCACCAGAGGTCTCTTCACAGTCCCCAAGTCCAGAACAGACTGTGGTAGGCGCACAGTAATACACAGAGCCATGACTACATGGAACTCTATTCTACATCAGGTAACTGATGCAAGCAGTAAAATCAGATTTAAAAAAACAGATAAAAATACACCTTGTGGAACAACGGGGACTGTGTGAAGCAACACAAACATAGGCACAGACACATGCATACACACACACGATAACATTTGCACTATACACACACGTACACATGGATTTTGTGTTGAAGATATGTGGTAGTGGAGTAGGGGCCTGAGGGAACAGTGTGTTGTGAAATCTGTTCTGAATGTATTGTATTGTTTTTGAAAATGGTATAACTGCCTTAATTTTGCCGGACCCCAGGAAGAGTAGCTGCTGCCTTGGGTATCTATAATAAATACAAATATACAAATACGAGGGCAGAGGATGGGCATGGACACACACACACACACGCAGACGCACGCACGCACGCACACACACACACACACACACACACACACACACACACACACACACACACACACACACACACACACACACACACACACAACACACAAACACACAAACACACAAGCACACACACACAGTGCAGAGGTTAGGCAGGGTTACACCCCAAACCAAATACTGCCACAATGCCATATTCAATAACCAACTGGAGAATGAAGCATCTCATTGGTTGGACAGGGCCATACACATAGCCAATGGGCTCAGCTCTAGGAAATAAGAAATCAGAGATGTATGGCTGTATGGATGGAAGAAGAGAGTGGAAACTTTGTTGAACTGAAAGCAACATTGATTGATTTAGACGACTGTTCAACAGAGTATAAGACTAAAGTTAAAGGGTGCGTCCCTACTTCCTATACATAAAACCCAAATATAATCACAACATGTAAAGTGCTGGTCCCATGTTTCATAAGCTGAAATAAAAGATCCCAGAAATGTTCCATACGCACAAAAAGTTTATTTCTCTTACATTCTGTGCACAAATTTGTTTACATCCCTGGTAGTGAGCATTTCTCCTTTGCCAAGGTAATCCATCCACCTATCATATCAAGACGCTGATTAAACAGCATGCTCATTACACAGGTGCACCTTGTGCTGGGGATAATAAATGGGCATTCTAAAATGTGCAGTTTTGTCACACAACACAATGCCACAGTGTGCAATTGGCATGCTGACTGCAGGAATGTCCACCAGAGCTGTTGCCAGATAATTTAATGTTAATTTCTCTACCATAAGCCGCATCCAACATTGTTTTAGAGAATTTGGCAGTACAGCCAACCGTCCTCACAACCGCAGACCACGTGTATTAGCTGGTTGGTGGAAGAGGGAGCCCACACCTTTAGCTGATTGGTTGAAGAGGGAGCCCACACCTTTAGCTGGTTGATGGAAGAGGGAGCCCACACCTTTAGCTGGCTGGTTGAAGAGGGAGACCACACCTTTAGCTGGTTGGTGGAAGAGGGAGCCCACACCTTTAGCTGGTTGGTTGAAGAGGGAGCCCACACCTTTAGCTGGTTGGTTGAAGAGGGAGCCCACACCTTTAGCTGGTTGGTTGATGAGGGAGCCCACACCTTTAGCTGGTTGGTTGATGAGGGAGCCCACACCTTTAGCTGGTTGGTGGAAGAGGGAGACCACACCTTTAGCTGGTTGGTGGAAGAGGGAGCCCACACCTTTAGCTGGTTGGTTGAAGAGGGAGCCCACACCTTTAGCTGGTTGGTTGAAGAGGGAGACCACACCTTTAGCTGGTTGGTTGATGAGGGAGCCCACACCTTTAGCTGGTTGGTGGAAGAGGGAGACCACACCTTTAGCTGGTTGGTGGAAGAGGGAGCCCACACCTTTAGCTGGTTGGTGGAAGAGGGAGACCACACCTTTAGCTGGTTGGTGGAAGAGGGAGACCACACCTTTAGCTGGTTGGTGGAAGAGGGAGACCACACCTTTAGCTGGTTGGTGGAAGAGGGAGACCACACCTTTAGCTGGTTGGTTGATGAGGGAGACCACACCTTTAGCTGGTTGGTTGATGAGGGAGACCACACCTTTAGCTGGTTGGTTGATGAGGGAGGCCACACCTTTAGCTGGTTGGTTGAAGAGGGAGACCACACCTTTAGCTGGTTGATGGAAGAGGGAGCCCACACCTTTAGCTGGCTGGTTGAAGAGGGAGACCACACCTTTAGCTGGTTGGTGGAAGAGGGAGCCCACACCTTTAGCTGGTTGGTTGAAGAGGGAGCCCACACCTTTAGCTGGTTGGTTGAAGAGGGAGCCCACACCTTTAGCTGGTTGGTTGATGAGGGAGCCCACACCTTTAGCTGGTTGGTTGATGAGGGAGCCCACACCTTTAGCTGGTTGGTGGAAGAGGGAGACCACACCTTTAGCTGGTTGGTGGAAGAGGGAGCCCACACCTTTAGCTGGATGGTTGAAGAGGGAGCCCACACCTTTAGCTGGTTGGTTGAAGAGGGAGACCACACCTTTAACTGGTTGGTTGATGAGGGAGCCCACACCTTTAGCTGGTTGGTGGAAGAGGGAGACCACACCTTTAGCTGGTTGGTGGAAGAGGGAGACCACACCTTTAGCTGGTTGGTGTAAGAGGGAGACCACACCTTTAGCTGGTTGGTGGAAGAGGGAGACCACACCTTTAGCTGGTTGGTTGATGAGGGAGACCACACCTTTAGCTGGTTGGTTGATGAGGGAGACCACACCTTTAGCTGGTTGGTTGATGAGGGAGACCACACCTTTAGCTGGTTGGTGGAAGAGGGAGCCCACACCTTTAGCTGGTTGGTGGAAGAGGGAGACCACACCTTTAGCTGGTTGGTTGAAGAGGGAGCCCACACCTTTATCTGGTTGGTTGAAGAGGGAGCCCACACCTTTAGCTGGTTGGTTGAAGAGGGAGCCCACACCTTTATCTGGTTGGTTGAAGAGGGAGCCCACACCTTTAGCTGGTTGGTTGAAGAGGGAGACCACACCTTTAGCTGGTTGGTGGAAGAGGGAGACCACACCTTTAGCTGGTTGGTGGAAGAGGGAGACCACACCTTTAGCTGGTTGGTTGATGAGGGAGACCACACCTTTAGCTGGTTGGTTGATGAGGGAGACCACACCTTTAGCTGGTTGGTTGATGAGGGAGGCCACACCTTTAGCTGGTTGGTTGAAGAGGGAGACCACACCTTTAGCTGGTTGATGGAAGAGGGAGCCCACACCTTTAGCTGGCTGGTTTGAAGAGGGAGACCACACCTTTAGCTGGTTGGTGGAAGAGGGAGCCCACACCTTTAGCTGGTTGGTTGAAGAGGGAGCCCCACACCTTTAGCTGGTTGGTTGAAGAGGGAGCCCACACCTTTAGCTGGTTGGTTGATGAGGGAGCCCACACCTTTAGCTGGTTGGTTGATGAGGGAGCCCACACCTTTAGCTGGTTGATGGAAGAGGGAGACCACACCTTTAGCTGGTTGGTGGAAGAGGGAGCCCACACCTTTAGCTGGATGGTTGAAGAGGGAGCCCACACCTTTAGCTGGTTGGTTGAAGAGGGAGACCACACCTTTAGCTGGTTGGTTGATGAGGGAGCCCACACCTTTAGCTGGTTGGTGGAAGAGGGAGACCACACCTTTAGCTGGTTGGTGGAAGAGGGAGCCCACACCTTTAGCTGGTTGGTGGAAGAGGGAGACCACACCTTTAGCTGGTTGGTGGAAGAGGGAGACCACACCTTTAGCTGGTTGGTGTAAGAGGGAGACCACACCTTTAGCTGGTTGGTGGAAGAGGGAGACCACACCTTTAGCTGGTTGGTTGATGAGGGAGACCACACCTTTAGCTGGTTGGTTGATGAGGGAGACCACACCTTTAGCTGGTTGGTTGATGAGGGAGACCACACCTTTAGCTGGTTGGTGGAAGAGGGAGCCCACACCTTTAGCTGGTTGGTGGAAGAGGGAGACCACACCTTTAGCTGGTTGGTTGAAGAGGGAGCCCACACCTTTATCTGGTTGGTTGAAGAGGGAGCCCACACCTTTAGCTGGTTGGTTGAAGAGGGAGCCCACACCTTTATCTGGTTGGTTGAAGAGGGAGCCCACACCTTTAGCTGGTTGGTGGAAGAGGGAGACCACACCTTTAGCTGGTTGGTTGAAGAGGGCACCCACAAAACACCAGGAAGCAAAATATCCATTGGGTGCATGGAAGGAGACTGAGAAGACCGCCCAGATCAGAGTGTGCTGGTGGGAAGTCACCTATCTTATGCTCCCTGGGGTAAGTTCTGCCAGTCACATTCTGTTAAAGGTCCCCAAAGCACACACGTCCCTGGGTCGCTCCTCTTTTCAGTTCGCTGCAGCTAGCGACTGGAACGAGCTGCAAAAAACTGGACAGTTTTATCTCCATCTCTTCATTCAAAGACTCAATCATGGACATTCTTTACTGCCAGTTGTGGGCTGCTTCGCCGTGATGTATTGTTGTTCTCTACCTTCTTGCCCTTTGTGCTGTTGTCTGTTGCCCAATAATGTTTGTACCATGTTTTGTGCTGCTACCATGTTGTGCTGCTGCCATGTTGTGTTGCTACCATGTTGTTGTCATGTGGTGTTGCTACCATGTTGTTTTCATGTTGGGTTGCTACCTGCTGTGTTGTCATGGGTTGCTGCCATGCTGTGTTGTTGTCTCGGTCTCTCTTTATGTAGTTGTCCTTGTGGTTGTGGTGTCTCTCTTTATGTCGTGTTGTGGGGTCTCTTTTATGTATGTTTGGTTTTCTCTTTTGTAGTTTTTGTGGTTTTCTCTCTTTATGTAGTGTTTGGTGTTTTCTTTTTGGTGTTGTTGGTCTCTCTTTTTTGTATGTTGTGGTGTCTCCTTTATGTAGGTTTTTGGTGTTCTCTTTTTGTTTTGTGGCCTCTTTTGGTGTTGTGGTGTCTCTCTTTATGTAGTGTTTGGGGGTCTCTTTTATGTGTTTTTGTGGGCTCTCTTATGTGTGTTTGGGTCTCTCTTTATGTAGTGTTGGGTTTTTCCCTTTATTATGTTGGGGGTCTCTCTTTATGTATGTTGTGGCGTCTTCTTTAGTATGTTGTGGTTCTCCTTATGTATGTTTTGGTTCTCTTTAGTAGTTTTGGGCCTTTTTTTGTAGTGTTGTGGTGTCTCTCTTTATTGTGTTTGGGTCTCTCTTTATTAGTGTTGTGTTTCCTCGTTTTGTAGTGTTGTGGCTCCCTTTATTATGTTGTGGTTCCTCTTTTGTAGTGTTTGGTGTCTTTATTTATGTAGTGTTTTTGGGTCTCTCTCTCTTTTTAGTGGGTGGTCTCTCTTTATTTTAGTGTTGGGGGTTTTTTCTTTATTTTTTTGTGGTTTCTCTCTTTATATTGGTTTTGGGGCTCTTTTATTAGTGTTTTGTGTCTCTATTTATGTATTTGTGGGTTCTCTTTATTAGGGTTTTGGGTCTCTTTTAGTAGTGTTGGGTGTCCCTTTATGGTTTTTGTGGCGTCTCTCTTTATGTAGTGTTTTGGGGGGTCTCTCTTTATGTAGTGTTTTGGGGTCTCTCTTTTGTATGTTGTGGTCCTTTTTTATTGTGGGTTTTGGGGTCCTTCTTTTTGTAGTTGTTTTCTCTCTTTATGTGTGTTTTTGGTGTCTCTCTTGTAGTGTTGGTTGTTTTCCCTTTTTGAGTGTTGTGGGGTCTCCTTTATGTAGTTTTGTGGTGTCTCTTTTTTAGTGTTTTGGGGTTCTCTTTATTAGTTTTGTTTTCTCTTTTTGTAGTGTTTGGTGTCTCTCTTTATGTAGGTTGTGGGCTCTTTTATGTAGTGTTGTGGTGTCTTCTTTATGTAGTGTTGTGGTTCTCTTTTTGTAGTGTTTTTGGGGGTCTCTCTTTATGTAGTTTTGGCGTCCTTTTATGTTGTTGTGGTGTCCTCTTTATGTATGTTGTTGTGTTCTCTTTAGTAGTTTGGTTCTCCTTTTTTGTGTTTGTGGTGTCTCTCTTTATGTAGTGTTTTGGGGGTCTCTCTTTATGTATGGTGGTTGCTCTTTTATGTAGTGTTTTTGGTTTTCTCTTTTAGTAGTGTTGTGGTTTCCTCTCTTTTTGTATTTTTTGGTGTCTCTTTATGGGTTGTGGTGTTCTCTTTTATTTGTGTGGTGGTGTCTTCCCTTTTTGAGTGTCGTGGGGTCTCTTTTATGTAGTGTTGGGGTTCCCTTTATGTGTGTTGTGGTGTCTCTATTTAGTGTGTTGGGTCTCTCCTTTATGTAGTGCTGTGGGGTCTCTCTTTTTTAGTGTTGTGGTGTTCCTTTTTTGTAGTGTTGTTGTTCTCTTTAATGTGTTGTGGGGCTCTCTTTTTGGTGTTTTGGGGGTCTCTATTTATGTAGTGGGTTTTGGGGGTCTCTCTTTTTGTTGTTGTGGGCTCTTTTTGTAGGTTTTGGTTTTCTCTCTTATTATGTTTTGGCGCTTCTTTTGTATGTTTTGGCTCTCTCTTTTTTTTTGTGGTGTTCCCCTTTTGTATGTTTGGTCTCTCTTTTTGTGTGTTGTGGGGTTCCCTTTAGTAGTGTTTTGTTGTCTCTCTTATGTGTTTGTGGTGTTTTTTTTTTTTTCTCTTTAGTGTGTTTTTGGGTTCCCCCCTTTTATTAGTGTTTGTGGGTCTCCTTTATGTAGTTTTGTGGTGTCTCTTTTATGTTTTGTGGGCTCTTTTATGTGTGTTGTGGGGCTTCTTTTTAGTGTTGTGGTGCTTCCCTTTATGTTGTTTTTGGGGGTCTTTTTATGTAGTGTTTGGGTCTCTCTTTATGTAGTGTTTTTTGGGTTCCTTTTTGTAGTGGTTTTGGGTCCTTTTTTATGTATGTTGTGGTGTCCTCTTTATTTGTTTTGTGGGGTTTTTCTTTTGTATGTGTGGTGTTCTCTTTATTAGGGTTTTGGTGTCTTCTTTATTGTTGTTTTTTTGTGGTTCTCTTTTATTAGTGTTGTGGGGTCCTCTTTATGTAGTGTTTGTGGTTCCTTTATGTATGTTGTGGTGCCCCTCTTTAGTAGTGTTTGGGTCTTCTTATTTTGTTGTTTTGCTCTCTTTATTAGTGTTGTGGGTCTCTCTTTTTAGTGTTTTTGGTGTCTCTCTTTTTGTGTGTTTGGTTCTCTTTTATGTAGTGTTTTTGGGTCTCTCTTTATGGTTTTTTGGTGTTCTATTTTTTAGTGTTGTGCTCTCTTTTGTAGTGTTGTGGGTCTCTCTTTATGTATTTTGGTGCTCTTTATTTGTGTTGTGGGTCTCTTTTAGTAGTGTTGTGGTTCTTTTTATGTAGTGTTGTGGTGTTCCTTTATGTAGGGGTTTTGGGTTTTTCTCTTTATGTGGTTTTTGGTGTTCCTCTTTTATGTAGTTTTGGGTCTCTCTTTTTTGGTTTTTGTGGTCTCTCTTTTTGTATGTTGTGGTGTCCTCTTTATGTGGTTTTGGGGTCTCTCTTTTTGAGTGTTTGGTGTCTCCTCTTTAAAGTAGGTTGTGGGTCTCTTTTATGTGTGTTTTGGGGGTGTCCTCTTTATGTAGTTTTTGGGGGGCCTTTTTTGTTTAGTTTGTGGGTCCCCTCTTTTATGTAGTTTTGTGGGGTTTCCCCTTTTATGAGTGTTGGGGTTTTTCTCTCCCCTTTTTGTATGTGTGGTTCCCCTCTTTATTAAGTGTTTTGGTGTCTCTTTTATGTATTTTTGGGGTGTCTCCCTTTATATAGTTTTTGTGGGGTCTCTCTTTAAAGGTTTTTTGGGGCCTATTTATGTATGTTGTGGGGTCCTTTTTTAGTATTTTGGTTTCTTTTATGTAGTTTGTGGGTCTTCTTTATGTATTGTGGTCTTCTTTATGTAGTGTTGTGGGCCCCTCTTTTTGTATGTTTGGTGGGGTTTTCTTTAGTTTTTTTGGGCTCCTTTATGTAGTGTTGGTGTTTTTTCTCTTTATGTAGTGTTTTTGTTTTCTCTCTTTTTGTGGTTTTGGGGGGTTTTTCTTTATGTAGTGTTGTGGTGTCTCTCTTTTTTAGTGGTGGGTCCTCTTTAGTGTGTTGTGGGTCTCTTTTATGTAGTGTTGTGGTGTCTCCTTTATGTAGGTTTTTGTTTCTTTTTGTGTTTGTGGTGTCTCTCTTTATGTAGGTTTGGGTCTTCCCTTTTTGTTTTGTGGTGTCTCTCTTTTTGTGTGTTGTGGGGGGCTCCTTTTTTGTGTGTTGGGGGCTCTCTTTTTGTATGTTTTGGGGTCCTCTTTTGTAGTGTTGTGGGTTCTCCCTTTTTTTATGTGTTTGTGGGTTTCTTAGTAGTTTGTGGTGTCTTTTCTTTTTAGTGTTGTGGGTTTTTTTTTATAGTGTTGTGGGTCCCCTCTTTTTTGTATGTTTTGGTTCTTTTTATTATGTTTTGGTGTTCTCTTTATGTGTGTTTTTGGGTCCTTTTTTAGTATGTTTGGGTCTCTTTTATGTAGTGTTGTGGGTTCTTTTTTAGTGTTTGGGGCTTTTTATGTATGTTGTGGTGTTCTTTTTTAGTGTTTGGTGTTTTTTATGGTTTTGGGGTCTCTTTTATGTATGTTTTGGGCCTCTTTTTGTGGGGTTTTTGGGGTTCTCTTTAGTAGTGTTTGGTGTCTCTCTTTATGTAGTGTTGGGTGTCTCTCTTTTAAAGGGTTTGGGGTTCCTCTTTTTTTTTTTGGTCTCCCTTTTTGGGTTTTTTTGTTTTCCTTTTTTGTAGTGTTTTGGTGTCTCTCTTTTATGTATGTTTTTGGTTTCCCCTTTATTAGTGTTTGGTGTCTCCTTTATTTGTGTTGTGTTTCTCTTTTGTAGTGTTGTGTTTTCTCTATTTATGTAGTTTTGTGGGTCTCTCTTTTTGTAGTGTTGTGGTTTTCTCTCTTTAGTGTTTGTGGTGTCTTCTTTAGTAGTGTTTTGGGTGTCTCTTTTATGTGTTTTTTGGTTTTTCCTTTTTTGGGTTTTTTTGTCTCCTCTCTTTTTGTATGTTTTGGGTCTTCTTTATGTAGTGGTGGTGTCTCTCTTTATGTTGTTTGTGGGGCCCTTTTTTTATGTGTGTTTGGCTCTCTTTAATTTTGTGTCCCCCCCCTCTTTTATTTAGGTTTGTTGTCTCTTTTAGTAGGTTTTTGGGTCTCCTTTAATTAGTGTTGGGGTTCCCCTCTTTAGTAGTGTTGTGGGGTCTCTCTTTATGAGGTGGGGGGTTCTCCTTTTGTAGTGTTTTGGTGTCTCATTTTTGAGTTTTGTGGGCTCTCTCTTTATGAGGGTGGTGCTCCTTTTGTGTGTTGTGGGTCCTCTTTATGAGTGTTGTGGTTTCTCTTTTGTATGTTTTGGGGCTCTCTTTTTGTGTGTGTGGTGTCCTCTTTATGTGGGGTTTTGTGGCGTTCTCTTTTTTTTTGTGGGGTTTTGGGCTCCTTTTAGGGTGTTGTGGGGTTTCTTTTGTGTTTGTGGGTCTCTCTTTAGTAGGGTTTGGGGTTCCTATTTATTGTGTTTGGGGCTCTCTTTATTGTGGGTTTTGGTGTCTCTTTTATGTAGTGTTTGTGGTTCTCTCTTTTAGGTTGTGGTTCTCTCTTTATTAGTGTTTGGGGGGTCTCTCTTTATGTGGTTGTGGGGTCCCTTTATGTAGTGTTGTGTTGTTCCCCTTTTGTGTGTTGGGGTGTTCTCTTTAGTTTTTGGTGTCTCTCTTATTTTGTTGTGGTGTCTCTCTTTTTGTAGTTTGTGGGTTCTCTTTATGTAGTGTTGTGGTGTCTCTATTTTTGTGTTTGTGGTGTCTCTCTTTTTGTATGTTGTGTGTCTCTCTTTATGAGTGTTGTGGGTTCTCTCGTTATGTAGTGTTGTGGGCTCTCTTTTATGTAGTGGTTGCTGGTGTCGTTCTCTTTATGTAGTGTTGGGGTGTCCTCTCTTTTATGTAGTGTTTGGTGTCCTCTCTTTATGTAGGTTGTGGTGTCGTTTAGTAGGTTGTGGTCTCTCTTTATGTGTGTTGTGGTGTCCCTCTTTATGTAGTTGTTGTGGTGTCTCTCTTGTCGTGATGTGTGTTTTGTCCAACATTTTTTATTTGTATTTTTTTTATCCCAGCCCCCGTCCCCGCAGGAGGCCTTTTGCCTTTTAATAGAAATGAGTTCTTAACTGACTTCCCTAGTTAAATGAAAAGAAATAAAAAATAAAGTAAAAAGGTAAGTGCTGGTAGATGTTTAAAGTGATGATCTAGACTCTCTAGCGATCTCCCGTGACAACGCATTGACACAAGGTAAGGGGAAAAGTTAGTCACCAAGAGAGAGATCTTGCAATGTCTGTGACTCTCAAGCATTAGGTTTGAGTCAAGTTAAAACCACGATGTGGGTTTCTCTCATTAGCTGGAGTGGTTCTAGTGTGTGTGTGTGTGTGTGTGTGTGTGTGTGTGTGTGTGTGTGTCTGTGTGTGTGTGTGTGTGTGTGTGTCTGTGTGTGTGTGTGTGTGTGTGTATGTGTGTGTGTGTGTGTGTCTCTGTGTGTGTGTGTGTGTGTGTGTGTGTCTCTGTGTGTGTGTGTGTGTGTGTGTGTGTGTGTGTGTGTGTGTGTGTGTGTTTGTGTTTGTGTGTGTGTGTGTGTGTGTGTGTTTGTGTTTGTGTGTGTGTGTGTGTGTGTTTGTGTGCTGTGTGTGTGTGTGTTGTGTATGTGTCGTGTGTGTGTGTGTGGGTGTGTGTTGTGTGTGTGTGTGTGTATCTGTGTGTGGGTGTGTGTGTGTCTGGTCTCTGTGTGTGTGTGTGTGTGTGTGTGTTGTGTGTGTGTGTTTCTGTGTGTGTGTGTGTGTTTGTGTTTGTGCTGTGTGTGGTGTGTGTGTGTGTGTGTGTGTCTGTGTGTGTGTGTGTGTGTGGGGTTTTGTGTGGTGGTGTGTGTGTGGGTGTGTGGTGTGTGTGTGTGTGGTGTGTCTCTGTGTGTGTGTGTTGTGTGTCTGTGTGTGTCTGTGTGTGTGTGTGTTTGTGTGTGGTGTGTGTGTGTCTGTGTGTGTGTGTGTGTGTGTGTTGTGTGTCTGTGTGTGTGTGTGGTGTGTGTGGTCTGTGTGTGTCTGTGTGTGTGTGTGTGTGTGGTGTCTGTGTGTCTGTGGTGTGTGTATGTGTGTGTCTGTGTGTGTGGTGTGTGTGGTGTGTGTGTGTGTGTGTGGTGTGTGTGTGTTGTCTGTGTGTGTGTCTGTGTGTGACTACAGTGTTTATTTAATCAGTTTCACAGCTAGAGAATAAGACAGCGTTAAATCTACGCTTCACTCATTACTCATTCTGGTCTCTGAGTCACAGCCTACCTCCCAAATGGCATCCTATACCTTATATAGTGCACTATGTCTGACCAGGGCCCATAGGATGCTGTTTGGGACACAGCCACAGAGTCTTACTCATAGCGGGAACCAAATCGAGGTCCCCTGTTGTTGGAGGATGGTCACTTTTTTTTCTGTTTTTCTCAGCGGTATGCAGTATGTGTGTTTTTAAAATAATGTTATTTTAGTTAATCTAAAGTTAATTTGTTGGAGCTGGAAGCTGAGGTTTCATGGATGTTCTAGTGTACAGCCTTGCTCCCTGATGTATTTAATGGAGCTTGTGTGTGTTTTGACTAATTATTGTGGAGGGGCTCCAAGTGGCCTTCCTCTGACAGTCAAAATTCAACCAAATACAGTCAAAATACAATGCTGTCTGAGGAGATAGTGGTAACCACTGTGTGAGACCTCTGCTTAGATTGGTAGGCAGGCTCAGTGAAGCTTGTGTGTGTGTTTGTGGATCCTGGTCAGTCAGTCAGTCAGTCAGTCAGTCAGTCAGTCAGTCAGTCAGTCAGTCAGTCAGTCAGTCAGTCAGTCAGTCAGTCAGTCAGTCAGTCAGTCGTTCAGTCAGTCAGTCAGTCGTCAGTCAGTCAGTCAGTCAGTCAGTCAGTCAGTCAGTCAGTCAGTCAGTCCAGTCAGTCAGTCAGTCAGTCGTCAGTCCGTCAGTCAGTCAGTCAGTCAGTCAGTCTGCTAGTCAGTCAGTCAGTCAGTCAGTCAGTCAGTCAGTCAGTCAGTCAGTCAGTCAGTCAGCCGTCAGTCAGTCAGTCAGTCAGTCAGTCAGTCAGTCAGTCAGTCAGTCAGTCAGTCAGTCAGTCAGTCAGTCAGTCAGTCAGTCAGTCAGTCAGTCAGTCAGTCAGTCAGTCAGTCAGTCAGTCAGTCAGTCAGTCAGTCAGTCAGTCAGTCAGTCAGTCATTCAGTCAGTCAGTCAGTCAGTCAGTCAGTCAGTCAGTCAGTCAGTCAGTCAGTCAGTCAGTCAGTCAGTCAGTCAGTCAGTCAGTCAGTCAGTCAGTCAGTCAGTCAGTCAGTCAGTCAGTCTATCAGTCAGTCAGTCAGTCAGTCAGTCAGTCAGTCAGTCAGTCAGTCAGTCAGTCAGTCAGTCAGTCAGTCAGTCAGTCAGTCAGTCAGTCAGCTCAGTCAGTCAGTCAGTCAGTCAGTCAGTCAGTCAGTCAGTCAGTCAGTCAGTCAGTCAGTCAGTCAGTCAGTCAGTCAGTCAGTCAGTCAGTCAGTCAGTCAGTCAGTCAGTCAGTCAGTCAGTCAGTCAGTCAGTCAGTCAGTCAGTCCAGTCAGTCAGTCAGGTCAGTCAGGCAGTTCAGTCAGGTCAGTCAGTCAGTCAGTCAGTCCGTCAGGTCAGTCAGTCAGTCAGTCAGTCAGTCAGTCGGTCAGTCAGTCAGTCAGTCAGTCAGTTCAGGTCAGTCCAGTCAGGTCAGTCAGTCAGTCAGTCAGTCAGTCAGTCAGTCAGTCAGTCAGTCAGTCAAGTCAGTTTCAGTCAATCAGTCAGTCAGTCAGTCAGTCAGTCAGTCTAGTCAGTCAGTCAGTCAGTCAGGTCAGTCCCCAGTCAGGTCAGTCAGTCGTCAAGTCAGTCAGTCAGTCAGTCAGGCAGTCAGTCAGTAGCAGTCAGTCCAAGTCAGTCAGTCAGTCAGTCAGTCAGTCAGTCAGTCAGTCAGTCAGTCAGTCAGTCAGCAGTCAGTCAGTCAGTCCAGTCAGTCAGTCAGTCAGTCAGTCAGTCAGTCAGTCAGTCAGTCAGTCAGGTCAGTCAGTCAGTCAGTCAGTCAGTCAGTCAGTCAGTCAGTCAGTCAGTCAGTCAGTCAGTCAGTCAGTCAGTCAGTCAGTCAGTCAGTCAGTCAGTCAGTCAGTCAGTCAGTCAGTCAGTCAGTCAGTCAGTCAGTCAGTCAGTCAGTCAGTCAGTCAGTCAGTCAGGCAGTCAGTCAGTTCAGTCAGTCAGTCAGTCAGTCAGTCAGTCAGTCAGGTCAGTCAGTCAGTCAGTCAGTCAGGTCAGTCAGTCAGTCAGTCAGTCAGTCAGTCAGTCAGTCAGTCAGCAGTCAGTCAGTCAGTCAGTCAGTCTGTCTGTCTGTCTGTCTGTCTGTCTGTCTGTCTGTCTGTCTGTCTGTCTGTCTGTCTGTCTGTCTGCTAGGTGTCTCAGCTCTCTGTGTTTCTGCTTTTCTAGATCAGGATGTTCTAAGCTAGCACTGCAGCACACACACACCAACACATTTAGCAAAATACCAATCACCGCACTATTGCCCACATAAACGGTCAAATCACCGTAATATTACTGCATAAAACTTTAACCAATCACCACACTGCATAAAATGGTTCAATCAAGCCACATGCCAACAAACCTTTCCCCCCCATCAGTGCATTTTAGTGACAAATTGGACAAAACTCTGCGCTAATTGCCATGTGGAATGTCAGAATTGCTGCTGCAAAATCAAGCATTTTTGCTGGCAGATATCACAGGAAAAATAAAAACGCCTGAAATCCTGGAGGGGCTGACTTCCCCTCAGCTAGCTGGTGAGCATACCAATCAACAACAACTGTTAAACTCTAGAGATCCCCATCCTGAACTGAGAACATATATATTGTAATATAATATTAATGATATTAACACTGGTGTTTACATCCTGTATCTTAAGTATTCACCACGCTTGGTTTTCTTCACATTTTATTGTGTTACAAAGTTGGATTAAAATGGATTTAATTGTCATGTTTTTGTCAACGATCTACACAAAATACTCTGTCAAAGGCAGATTTTTTCTCTCCAAAAAGTTATTGAAAAGTTATAAAAAACTGAAAAAAACGAATACAAATCAGATCACATTTTATTTGCAACATACAACCGAATACAACAGGTGTAGACCTTACAGTGAAATGCTTACTCACAAGCCCTTAACCAACAATGCAGTTTTAAGAAGAAAAAAAAAGTGTTAAGTAAAAAATAGATAAGTAAAAATACCTAGATTAGATTGGTATTCACCACCCTGAGTGAATACATGTTAGAAACACCTGTGACAGTGATTGCAGCTGTCCGTCTTCTTGGGAAAGTCCACTATTATTATTTTGAAAATTATTCAAGCTCTGTCAAGGTGTTGTCATGGCTACAGCAATTGTCAAGTCTTGCCGTAGATTTTCAAGTAGATTTCAGTCAAAACTGTAACTCGGCCACTCAGGAACATTCACTGTATTCTTGGTGAGCAACTCCAGTGTAGATGTGGCCTTGTGCTGTAGGTTATTGTCCTGCTGAAAGGTGAATTCATCTCCCAGTGTCTGGTGGAAACAGCTTTTCCTCTAGATTTTGCCTGTGCTTAGCTCCATTCCGTTTATTTCTTTTATCCTAAAAAAACTCCCCAGTCCATAACGATTACAAGCATACCCATAACATAATGATGCCGCCACCACTATGCTTGAAAATATGGAGAGTGATACTCGGTAATGTGTTGTATTGGATTTGCCCCAAACACTTTGTTTCAGTATGCAGTATTACTTTAGTGCCTTGTTACAAACAGGATTACAAACAGGATGTTTTGGAATATTTGTATTCTGTACAGGGGGGGGGGGGGGGGGGGTCTAACATATGGAATAGTCCTCAGTTTGGGATATAGACTGAATGACTTTATAGCTAGCCTGATCAGTTCGGGGATACAGACCGTCTCTGGCTGCCTTAGTGAGCTACAATGGGCCTAACCATAATGAGAGAGGGTTGTTCAACATGCCGTGAAATGACTTTATAGCCTTTTCACATTAAAATAACTGATAGAATACATTTCTAATAAAGCAAGCACAGCGCTCGGGGGAAACGCATGGGGGCATCCGTTCATGTGAGGTGAGGTGTGTGTGTGTGTGTTTGTGTGTGTGTGTGTGTGTGTGTGTGTGTGTGTGTGTGTGTGTGTGTGTGTGTGTGTGTGAATGAGAAAGACGGGGGTAATCAATGTGGCATGGAAAAGCAAATGGAACGTGTCAGATTTGCAGCGTGACACACACACACACACATACACACACACACACACACACACACACACACATACACACACACACACACAAACAATACATAGGTTTATGTATAAATTAGTACCTTTTCAAAAACCTGAAAAATATTTTTTGGGAAAGACTTTATCTTTAGGGTCCGTAATAAACAAGTTATAAGTCATTTATATAGTGTGTTTTCACCATTTATTAATCATTACTCCCACATTTATAAACCATTTACTAATCCTTAGTAAAATAAAAATACAGCCCCTAATCTAAAGTGAGCGCTATTTATGCTTTATAAATACTTTATACATGTTTGGACCCTGGCGTTGGAAGCGCCATGCTCTACCAACTGAGCTACACGGGGGCCACCATACATAACCTTCCAGTTAGTGGAACTGAAACTACATTGGACAGAATGGCTGTATCAAAAATAAATCCATTTTAAAACCATGGCTTCTCTCGACTTGTACCACTCTCATGTCTGCATAACTAGCTTACTAACATTTACACATGTGGGAGTCATGATTAATAGAGGTTTATAAAGGTTTATAAATGTTTATAAATACCCTTAAACTAAAAGCGTAACCTATTTTGTTTGGACAGACATGATTATTTTCCAAGTGTGAATGCAAGCTACATAACATAACATGTACCTGGTTCTAATGTAACTTATAAAGGTACACATATCAAAACCTTCTTAGAGACTAAAATATTGATACATCTGAGTTCACTAACATGGTAAAGGGGGATATAGTTCCTTCACCAAACTATTAAAACACCTTGATTTTATCAAAGTGTTGTGGTGTTACAGCCTGAATTGAAAATTGATTAAAGTTAGATTTTGTGTCGCTGGGCCTACACACAATACCCCATAATGTCAAAGTGGAATTATGTTTTTAGAAATGTTTACAAATTAATTACAACTGAAAAGCTGAAATGTCTTGAGTCGATACGTTTTCAAACCCTTTGTTATGGCGAGCCTAAATAAGTTCAGGAGTACAAATTTGCTCAAGAAGTCACATAATAAATAAGTTCAGGAGTACAAATTTGCTCAAGAAGTCACATAATACGTTGCATGGACTCACTCTGTGTGCAATAATAGTGTTTAACATGACTTTTGAATGACTACCTAATCTCTGTACCCAACACATACAATTATCTGTAAGGTCCCTCAGTCGAGCAGTGAATTTCAAA